CAAGATGGTTCCTAAGATTTTCATGTTTTAGTTATTGGACTTACAATGTTCCAGTGTAGGTTAAGCACCAATCCGAGTCTGCAACAATCATGACATAGAACAACTCTATATCTTAGTAAAGAATAAAGAAAATGATAATTTGACTATAAGTTTAAACTTTACTTTACTTTTACCCTTGTAAAACTATCACTTTCATGTACATTTATTATAACTCTAATTGTCTTTTTTTAGTCAAAACCTTACATCCATCAAAATTTGTGAAGCTGAGATGATGATTGACTTGGTATGAGGGTGGCAAAATGAATAAGAAACAAGATCGCCCTTTTAAATTTTATTAATAAAAGATCTGAGTTAAGTAGCTACCTAAAATGTTCCAAAATTGATGATTTTTTTTTGATAATACACGAAAAAAATTAAAATCAACCTCAATATCTAGGGTTGTAAAAACAAAACTTGACATACAGGTTGCTAAAAGAATAAGATAAAGTGCCTTGGACGAGTAGCTACCTAAAATGCCCCAAAAGTGACTATTTTTTCCAAAACGCCGAACACTGATTTGAAGCTGTCGAAATATCTAGTATTATTTCTGGAATCATAATTAATTAATTGCAGCTCTCTATGTTTCTATGCTCGCTCATGTATCTCACAGACTTAGTAAAATAATAAATGAAAAATCAAAGGAGGATCTAAAATTAAAATTTGGCAAGATGGATCCTAAGATTTTTATGTTTTAGTTATTGGACTTACAATGTTCCAGTATAGGTTTAGCACCAATCCGAGTCTGCAACAATCATGACATAGAACAACTCTATATCTTAGTAAAGAATAAAGAAAATGATAATTTGACTATAAGTTTAAACTTTACTTTACTTTTACCCTTGTAAAACTATCACTTTCATGTACATTTATTATAACTCTAATTGTCTTTTTTTAGTCAAAACCTTACATCCATCAAAATTTGTGAAGCTGAGATGATGATTGACTTGGTATGAGGGTGGCAAAATGAATAAGAAACAAGATCGCCCTTTTAAATTTTATTAATAAAAGATCTGAGTTAAGTAGCTACCTAAAATGTTCCAAAATTGATGATTTTTTTTTGATAATACACGAAAAAAATTAAAATCAACCTCAATATCTAGGGTTGTAAAAACAAAACTTGACATACAGGTTGCTAAAAGAATAAGATAAAGTGCCTTGGACGAGTAGCTACCTAAAATGCCCCAAAAGTGACTATTTTTTCCAAAACGCCGAACACTGATTTGAAGCTGTCGAAATATCTAGTATTATTTCTGGAATCATAATTAATTAATTGCAGCTCTCTATGTTTCTATGCTCACTCATGTATCTCATAGACTTAGTAAAATAATAAATGAAAAATCAAAGGAGGATCTAAAATTAAAATTTGGCAAGATGGATCCTAAGATTTTTATGTTTTAGTTATTGGACTTACAATGTTCCAGTATAGGTTTAGCACCAATCCGAGTCTGCAACAATCATGACATAGAACAACTCCATATCTTAGTAAAGAATAAAGAAAATGATGATTTGACTATAAGTTTAAACTTTACTTTTCTTTTACCCTTGTAAAACTATCACTTTCATGCAAATTTATTAAAACTCTAATTGTCTTTTTTTGGTCAAAAAATTACACCCATCAAAATTTGTAAAGCTGAGATGATGATTGACTTGGTATGAGGGTGGCAAAATGAATAAGAAACAAGATCGCCCTTATAAATTTTATTGATAAAAGATCTTAGTCAAGTAGCGACCTAAAATGTTCCAAAATTGATGATTTTTTTTTGATAATACACGAAAAAAATTAAAATCAACCTCAAAATCTAGGATTGTAAAAACAAAACTTGGCATACAGATTGCTAAAAGATTAAGATAAAGTGTATTAGCTGAGTAGCTAGCTAAAATGCCCCAAAAGTGACTATTTTTTCCAAAACGCCAAACTCTGATTTGAAGGTGTCGAAATATCCAGTATTATTTCTGGAATCATAATTAATTAATTGCAGCTCTCTATGTTTCTATGCTCACTCATGTATCTTATAGACTTAGTAAAATAATAAATGAAAAATCAAAGGAGGATCTAAAATTAAAATTTGGCAAGATGGTTCCTAAGATTTTTATGTTTTAGTTATTGTACTTACAATGTTCCAGTGTAGGTTTAGCACCAATCCGAGTCTGCAACAATCATGACATAGAACAACTCCATATCTTAGTAAAGAATAAAGAAAATGATAATTTGACTATAAGTTTAAACTTTACTTTTCTTTTACCCTTGTAAAACTATCACTTTCATGTAGATTTATTAAAACTCTAATTGTCTTTTTTGGTCAAAACCTTACACACCCATCAAAATTTGTGAAGCTGAGATGATGATTGACTTAGTATGAAGGTGGCAAAATGAATAAGAAACAAAATTGCCGTTATAAATTTTATTGATACAAGATCTGAGTCAAGCAGCTACCTAAAATGTTCTAAAATTGATGATTTTTTTTGATAATACACGAAAAAAATTAAAATTAACCTCAATATCTAGAGTTGTAAAAACATAACATGACATAAAAGTTGCTAAAAGGATTAGATAAAGTGTCTTGGCTGAGTAGCTAGCTAAAATGCCCCAAAAGTGACTATTTTTTCCAAAACGCCAAACACTGATTTGAAGGTGTCGAAATATCTAGTATTATTTCTGGAATCATAATTAATTAATTGCAGCTCTCTATGTTTCTATGCTCACTCATGTATCTCATAGACTTAGTAAAATAATAAATGAAAAATCAAAGGAGGATCTAAAATTAAAATTTGGCAAGATGGATCCTAAGATTTTCATGTTTTAGTTATTGGACTTACAATGTTCCAGTTTAGGTTAAGCACCAATCCAAGTCTGCAACAATCATGACATAGAACAACTCTATATCTTAGTAAAGAATAAAGAAAATGATAATTTGACTATAAGTTTAAACTTTACCTTACTTTTACCCTTGTAAAACTATCACTTTCATGTACATTTATTAAAACTCTAATTGTCTTTTTTGGTCAAAACCTTACACCCATCAAAATTTGTGAAGCTGAGATGATGATTGACTTAGTATGAGGGTGGCAAAATGAATAAGAAACAAAATTGCCGTTATAAATTTTATTGATACAACATCTGAGTCAAGTAGCTACCTAAAATGTTCCAAAATTGATGATTTTTTTTTGATAATACACGAAAAGAATTAAAGTCAACCTCAAAATCTAGGATTGTAAAAACAAAACTTAGCATACAGGTTGCTAAAAGAATAAGATAAAGTGCCTTGGATGAGTAGCTAGCTAAAATGCCCCAAAAGTGACTATTTTTTCCAAAACGCCGTTATGTTTTAGTTATTGGACTTACAATGTTCCAGTGTAGGTTAAGCACCAATCCGAGTCTGCAACAATCATGATATCGAACAACTCCATATCTTAGTAAAAAATAAAGAAAATGATAATTTGAATACAAATTTTTTTTGTGTATACGATAATATGTTTAGATTGATTTAATGAAGTAAAAAAAAAGTAATGTGTAAAAAATGTTGAATATAGAGGATAACCGTTTAGGTCGAATTTGGGATCGCCTCGAAGTCTTGTAAAGTTTATTAAGGATGTAATTAGTACTTTGTCTTGTAGTTATGAGAAGGTATACTAAACGGGACGAGAGCGTGAATTTTTTTGCTCGCAATCCGATCGTGGTGGCTTGTATAAGGAGATTTACAGGACTGGTCGGTTGTGTGTTGCTCGGTAGCAGATCGAGTTCGATAATATTTAAAATTTACTGCAAATACGATAGTAACTCTCAACGTTGTAACCGATTTAAATGCCCGACGCGTAAATTTCACCCTTAAACAATCCGGCTTTTAATTTAAACGTTTAATGTGGGCATAGATGTTTAATAACACCGGATCTTTACGATCCTCGTTTATAATTTAGCCCGGAACGGGGTTCGGAACTAAAAGACTAAAAGACCGAAACCCACCGGAAGATATCTTTGACACGAATATGACAATAAAAGCCAAAACATCTGTAGATACCAATTATACACGGCAAGGATAAAATACAATCAAATTATTTGGTGTTTAGGGGCAAATGTATACCCACTAAACAACCGAGGGGGGTTAAACCCTCTTGAATAATAAATCATTGCCATCTGTGGCCTTAGATACATAATAACTCGTAGATACGAATCTGTATAACGATAATAGGTCTTTATTTTCATGCCCAACCACCTTTTTGATTTAAAAAGAATATTTACCCGCCCTATGAATTATCTTCTAAATAACATTAATGAAAAAAATATTATATAATAAATAAAATATTTTAATTTGAAAACATTTCAAAAGTAATTCTTTCGTGAATTAATAACAGGTCTCGGAGGTTGGTTGAATTCTTCGTGGCGGAACGTTATAAATCAGAAAAGACCGGGCGGAAAACGTCGTTTTAAATAAATAACAAATAACGTAATATTTGTTATTGTCTTAACCGTGGAAAGCAAGAGGCGAGAGGTGCAATTTGGTTAACGGCGCGATATATTATTGGCCACTCTCATTAGTAGTTACGACGTGCGTCTATGTGAGCACGTCAGCTCTTTACATTATTCGATGTCATTATAAATCTCTCGTACCATGTATAACAAAATGCAAAAAGGAACACGCTTTTTTTTAATTAATTCAAACTCTTCAAGTCGTCGTATTAAAATATAAATTTTAATGGTGAAATGAAAATTTCCAAGTTGAAACCAAAATCTCCATCAATTACGGTACAATTACAATGTTACACGCCCTATCTTTCCATCTTTCTTATTATGCCATTAATAAAAAAGCTTATTATATCTTTCTGACTGCATAATAGTTTAATTAATCTTGGTGATACGTCCGCACAAAAATTTATTTTATCAGCTGCTCCAAATTTGCATAAAATTTTGATCGGGATGAATTTCTTAAAAATTTGTGGAAATGGGAAATTAAAAATTTTTTTTTTCTAAATACATACTTTAATTTATATCGAAACGGTTTTGTACAATTATAAATAATCGATTAACACCTAGCTTAGTGTAAGTAACTAACGAGTACTTAAACAGGGCGGACTTAAGCGTTTTTTTTTAAATATAATAATAATAAATATATACAACAGACTTTAATAAATATGTACAGGCGGCATTGTTCGATCGTTTCTTCGTTCTTTATTCGTTCGTTCACAATAGGGATTTGTAAAGTGGTTATTTATTTTGGTGTACTAAGAGATCGCATGCGGGCCTCTTCGAGTTCTTTTATTATTATCTAACAATACGATCGTACCTTCGTGTTAAGTACATTTTTAAAATTGTAAATCCGCGAATCGCGTGACTAAATAAATACCTATCGTAAACGTCGCGGACGGGCCGTTTAAAATTAAGTAAATTAATATCACAAATACATTCAGTATGTTTTTAAGTAAAGATGATATATACAGATAGAGATATCATATAGGAACAAAATATTTTTTCTACCTATCGCAAAATACAATTATTGACAATGGAAATCAGACTTTATTGCACTTATATTTTATTAATCTAATATTTTTTAAACTGATCTTAAAGCTAATTGCGGCACTTTTAATATATCATCCGGCGATACCCCGTAATGTGTATAATAAGGAGGTGCCGGTGGTGCCATTAATATCGGCTGAGTCATTGGAAAATCATATGGGTTTAAACCCCATTGGAAACAAGTGGTAGGTCGAACCTGGGTGGGACTTTCCCTTATCTCTGATTGTTCGGGTTTATCGGGCGAAATCAAACTCTCAATAGTAAAACTCCTTTTTGGTCGAATAGTCGTTTCAGTTGCCGCACGAATCACTGGCGATGGCATTTTTTGATTAACATGCACCGGGTGTTCAATTTGACGTTCCGTCGGTGCGAAAAAGAATCTGTTTATGTTGGCCAACGCGGCTAATTCATTATCGAGAACTTCTTTATCGGTTTTTAGCAACTTAAATCGTTTCCTCCTTCTTAATAAACTGCCATTTTCAAACATATCAAACGCTGCGGGATGTAGAGCCCAATAAGCACCTTTTCCAGGTCGATCTGGCCTTCTAGGTATTTTGATGAAACAATCGTTGAACGATAAATTATGTCTCAGCGAATTTTGCCACCTTTGGGTATTCCTTCTGTAGTAAGGAAATCGATCGGTGATGAATTTGTAAATTTCAGATAATGGAAGCATCTTCTCCGGTGAACTCCATATAGCCATTGCGGTTAGAGAGATGTAAGAGTATGGTGGTTTTTGGTCACCATAAGATTCCCTCGATGGACGCGGCATCTTCACAAAAACTTTTCAAAAAGAACTATGCAAACTCTCGGAAAAACTTTCAAAACAATCACCACCCAGATTTTAAAGAATAAAAAAAGAAGCAAAAGTCCTGATCGTGTACCGTTTAGTTTCTCGACCATCGACTTCGGAGCGTACGTTTCGACTGTAAACCAGGGACTTCGTCAAAAGACCACTCCGTTCACCAAAGTCTCTCATTGGACGAACACGTACAATGGCATGAAGGCACCCTCCGAACTCCGCCTCGAAAACCCCAAAACCACACCTTCTACGTCCGACATATAACAGAAACTAATAAGCTAATAGCAGGTGCCTCAAACCGTACGTCCTTACGTAATTACAGAATCGACCTTATTCCTTTAAAAAAAATATTTTTAAACAATTTCAATAAAACAATTTTTTTTTATTTTTCATTCAGTCAATTTTCAATTTATTTTTAATCCTTATTGTTTATTTATCGGTTATTAAAAAAAAATTAATTTATTTCCACCGGTTTCAGCTATATAAGTACAATCATCAGGCTAATCTAGTAACGCGTCCATTATATATAAATTATACCTTCAATTTTAAGCTAACAACAATTTTGAATGAAAAAATAAAAAAGATAATAAAAAATTTCAGCGTTATTAATTTTAACCTGGTATAAAGTAATAAGCGATACTTTATAACCTCAAAAAATAAATATTTATATATTTATTATAAAATAAACTAATTAAATAAGTGATTTTTACAAATTTATTCAAATTCATCTTAAAATTTTAATATTTCGTATAAACCAAATTCAAACCTTCCTTTATAATCCTAAAAAGTGTTATTTTTTAAATACATTTTTTAATAAATAATTAATTTATATCAAGTAAATCGTTCACCCCGAAAACTTGAAATTTAGTACAAATTAACCTAAAGTACTCCTTTATAACCTTAATATAATATATAATATAACCCTAATAGTTAATATAACCCTAATAATTTCATTTCTTAAATCCTAACCGTTTTGAAAAAAAAAATTTTTAATTAATAAATGTCAAATTGAATAGGTGATTTTTAAAAATTTATATAAAATGTATCGCTTACAACGAAAACTTAAAATATGGTATAACTTAACCTCAAACGTTTCTTTATAATCTGTTTTTTATCAATTTTTTATAACCTCTTCCAATAAACTTCAAATTAAATTAACAAATTTTAACAAATTAGACATCACCATGTTTTTATCTTATGGTGATTGGTCATAAACGGGTGAGATGAAATATAAAAATTGTGTTTTTTGGTAAATATTTATTTGATCAAAAGTAAATAAATAACATTTTAAAAATTAATTTATAATATAAATTATGTTATCAAATAAATCGTTCACCCCGAAAACTTGAAATTTAGTACAAAGTAACCTTAAATAACCTTAAAAAATTTCATTTCTTAAATCTTAACCGTTTAGAAAAAAAAAATTTTTAATTAATAAATGTCAAATTGAATAGGTGATTTTTAAAAATTTATATAAAATGAATCGCTTACAACGAAAACTTAAAATTTGGTATAACCTAACCTCAAACGTTTCTTTATAACCTATTTTTTATAACCTCCTCCAATAAACATCAAATTAAATTAACAAATTAGACATCACCATGTTTTTATCTTATGATTGTCATTGTGATTGGTCATAAAGGGGCGAGAAAAAGAAATATAAAAATTGTGTTTTTTGGTAAATATTTATTTAATCAAAACATATAATATAAATTGTTAATAAATTAATATAAATAAATATAATCCAATAAGAAGAAGTTGTTCATTATTCTGTATTGATATAATATGTATTTTCCTGGTTGACTTCAACAGTAGGAACAATTTCATTATAAATGTTACAAGCTTGGTATCCGTCTCTAGGGACAGAATATCCTGAAATAAAATTCCATGCATTTTGCATTTATCAAAAATAATTTTTACCTGATTCATCAAGTGTAGACATAATAATATCACCCGCAACCTCACTTCCATTTTCTATAACAAAAGAAAACTGAAATTATTTAAAAAAATTTACTGTTTAAAAGTTAACCTTTATTATTTTCTCTAGAAATACAAATTTTGACGGATAGTGTAAACACAATTAACAACATAACATCAATTCCAATTAAAGCAACAACATAAAAAATCTCCATAAGATTATTATTGGTCGTAATGTTAATATTATAATTGGTAGAATTAATGCATTTGGCTCCGTTTACGTTGGGAATAGTGTTATTTGAAGTATATTTAAATGTTATGTTGTTAAATGTAAATAATTCTCGTAAATACTGGCAATCCCATTTATTATCATCGATAAACAGTGTTAAATGTGCATCTTCTAAATTTATGTGAGTTAAGGAATTATTGTTGAGGTTTACAATCGGTGATTTAAAGCTGTGGAAAATTTCGCCGACAACTTCGAGTTGATTATTGCTAAGATCGAGACATTTCAGTTTAGGTTTATCCACGAATGTACCTGTTCCAATCGTTTTAATTAAATTATCGGATAAATTTAATTCGATTAGTTGAATAGACTGTGTTAAAATGTTCAAAGGAATAGTTTCGATTTTGTTTCGGTTTATAAATATTTTTAATAACGAAGGTAAATTTTGTAGAAAATTTAATTGTGTAATTTTGTTGTTATCGATATAAAATATTTGTAAGTGCATAAATTCTTTCGTTATATCCGGTGATATAGATGATATATTGTTTGAAGATAAATATAAAGTTCTCAAATTAATAAGATTTTTGAGGAAATTAACTGATTCAATTAAATTATTCGAACAGTTCAAGGATATTAGCGATGAATTTCTGGGAAATGCATCATCATGTATACGTTTGATACAATTATCTTGTAAATAAACATCTGACACATCAATCTTTTTAAATGTATCCTTGTCGATGAAATCGAGGGATTCAGTTTTAAAAAAAAATTTTGAAACTTTCGTTATATTTCCAAAAGTATCTTCGTTTATTTCCTTCCATTTATTTCTGGCAGTAATTGATAAAGTACGTAAAGCCTTAGTATTTTCAATTTTAATTTCTTCCAAAGAATTTCCCACGATTTCTAATACTCTTAAAAATCGAAATTTTCCATTTTCGTATTTTTTAGATTCTGTTTTCACTTCTAACACGTTCACAGTATCGGGGAAATCACAGGGAATTTCGGTTGTGTAGTTGAAGCACTTTAACTCGTGTTGAAACGATAAAGTAAAGAACAGAACCACAACGAAAAATGAACATACACCGCACATCTTAGTTACGAAATGCGAAAAAGATAAACTTACGGAAGTGGTTTCCCCATATATTCCTTATCTAGGTATAACAAATTTATCGTGAAATTATCGTCAGTTTGCTTTTAACAACGATGAGTTTTAAAGTGAATTATATCACCCTAATATTTTTGTATTTTTTTGTTGTTGGTGTAATTTCGCATAATATAGAAAACTGTACTGAAGTGATCACGTCCAATATGAATTGTAATGGTAAAGAAAAAATTATAGTAGTAAGGTTAAACGAGAAAAATTTAACAGTGTTGGAGGATAATATGTTTAAAGATATGCGCAACCTTCGTAAGATCGATTTAAAACAGAATTCTATACCAGATCTAAATTCAGAAATATTTCAAGATATTCCACAGGTTACATTTATATTTCTCGATTATAATCGTTTACAAATAATAAAAGAGAACACATTTGGGGAAATACCTCGATTACAAAATTTATATATATCGCATAATAATTTAGAAATAATAGAAGCTGGTGCATTTAATTTTCCACACCTACAAGTATTGGATTTAACAAACAACGCTATTCTGAACATATCTAAAGATGCCTTTCGGGTAAACTCTACGATTTATAATTTAAATTTTAAAAATAATAAAGTCAAAAACATCTCGTTTATACAAAATCTATATAATTTATCGATCCTCGACTGTACATCAAATTGTATCAAAGATATTGACGAAAACACGTTTGAAAATGCAAAGAAAGTAAGTGACTTTGTATGCATGAATAATCAAATTGAAAATCTCGAGTTTTTAAAACACCTAAGAATGTTGACTAATTTAGATTTAAGCAATAACTCGATAAAAACGTTACCAGTTACAACATTTTTGAATTTAAAGAAAATTCAAAAAATCATTTTGCGGAAAAATGAAATTGAAGTAATACCAACAGGTGCATTTGCTGAATTATATGATTTATCTGAGATATCCTTAGCTGATAACAAGATTAAGACCATTGGAGAGGTTTTTGGATTACCTAAATTAAAAACACTAAATGTTAAAAACAACAGACTACAAAGTCTACCAAGTGGGCTAATAGAAACCTCGCTTAGTATTACTTTTAAAATAGATGGCAATAATTGGAGTTGTCAATTTATTCGAAAAATCGTTGATAAATCCCGCATTAAAATCGAATTCACCATTCGACCCAATGATGTGACTAATTACAAAAATATATCGTGCAGTGATGAAATGAATCTAGTTCCAAACGACCAAAGAACCGCAAACATCACTCAACCAGACGATAAAACATTCTTCAAATATATCATTGGTTTTTTTATTTTTATAGTTATTTGTGTGGGTTTAATCGGAGTAGTTTTCATGTGTCGTGGTAAGTATAATCAACTAAACAAAAAAACATTAATATAATCTTAATTTCTGTTATAATTTAGCCATAGTTCGATTCCACAAAAAGAAGAAAAAAACGAGTATACCTTTGACTTATTTAAGTGGCCCATACGGTAAAATATACATTTTATATAATAATAAGAGAAGACTCAAATTGAAACATTTTTTTTAGATCCTAATGGATATCTTGAACCACGCAATATTTGCCAAGAAGAAGGTATTTATGAAGAAATTATGGAGAACGATTGCGAGACTTATACAGCACCAAGGCAAAATAATTATATTTTGACATAATTTTTATGCATTATTTTATAACTCGACTACTAATTGAATATATTTAATCATTTTTTATTGCATGTTCTTTTATTACATACTCAAATTATTTTAATAATTACTCAATTTATTATTAGAGTTATCTTTGATATTTAAGATATAAGGCATTAAAAGCTACTTTTGAAGTAGCCTGTTGGGTGGACAACCAGACTAGCGTCATCGGAATCTCGAAATAATAATAAATTTAGTGAGGTCTTTCGTAGAAAACATCTGAAAAGTTAATATCTAAACCAACCTAGTTGTCCTGTTGCGTGGACAACCAGGATAGTTCAGATATTCAATTTCTGCCACTCTTTGGTATGGTGGAGTGACAAAAATTGAATATCTGAACTATCCTATTGCGCGGATTATCCAAACCAATAAGTTATTAATAACTACATTTCACACAAAGGCCATAAAAGAAACAAGATTACTATCTATATAAATAAAGGATTTGAATGTGAAGGCATAAAATTAAATATATACCTCAAGTATACAATTTGTTGAATGAAGTTGTTGTGGTCATTATAATTAAGCCTACAACAAATATCAAAAAACTCTAATGATATATATAATATATAGTTTATTTAATTGACACCATAACAATTCAATTAATTATCGTTTTTATAAATTCAGTTTTAAAAAATTTCATTATTAAATTATAACACTTCAAGGTTGTATATAACATTTTTACAATTTCCCAGTTAATTCTGGAACTGCTTTGAATAGATCTGCTACAATTCCATAATCGGATACTTGGAAGATGGGCGCTTCTGGATCCTTGTTAATCGCTACGATAGTTTTGCTGTCTTTCATACCGGCTAAATGCTGAATTGCTCCAGATATTCCAACAGCAATGTATAGATCCTGTAACAAATATAATTTTCATTTAATTCTTCATTAAAAATCGTTAAAATTAAATACTGGACCACGTAATTATTATTTTCCAGCATTTTTTTTGTTTAATAAATTAAATTATAAACATTTTGAACTTACAGGCGCTACAATTTTGCCAGTTTGACCAACTTGTAAATCATTGGGTACAAAACCAGCATCAACAGCTGCTCTTGAAGCTCCAACAGCAGCATTTAATTTATCAGCAAGCGCATATAACAACTTGAAGTTATCACCTGACTTCATTCCACGACCTAAATAAATTTAAAACAATAACTTGGAACCTTTACATCTTTTCCTACCAATAAGTTACCTCCACTTATGACAACTTTAGCACTTGTAAGTTCTGGTCTATCTGATTTGCTTAATTCTTGACTTATGAAGACTGTTAAATCAGATTTATAATCGCCTTTAACTTGTTCAATAGGTGTGGAGCCTCCTTCTAATTTATCAGCTTCAAAACTAGTTCCTCTGACTGTTACTACTTTAATTTTGTCGTTTGCAGTTAATGTTTGAATGGCATTTCCTATTAAAAAAATTTTAATCTTACAAATAAATTTAATTTTTTTAAATTTTAATTACCTGCATAAATACTTCTAATAAAAGTATCAGCTGATTTAATTCCAATTACATCAGAAATAGGTGATACATCAAGTTTAGCTGCAACCCTAGGAAGTAAAGCTTTCCCAAATGCAGATGCTCCGGCGACAATATGAGTGAAATTATATTGTTTCTGAGTGGCCAAAATTAAGGGGGTAAGACTCTCAGCAGTAAATCCCTTAAAAGCATCTCCTTCAGCAACAAGTACTCTGGCAAGACCACCTGCCTTGGCTGCAGCCTCTGCTGCTGGTCCACATTTTGTCCCAGCAATTAATACAGAGATTTCACCACCAAACTTCTTAGCTGCTGTAAGCGCATTTTGTGTGATGGGGTTTAAAACTTCATTATTATGTTCCCCAATAACCAAAGTACTTTGAAGTCTTCGCAATCTAGTTGAAAGCTAAAACACGCATTTAATAAACAAAATGATTACACTTAATTTCTTATTTACCTGGGCAGTGGCGTTACGGGTACAAGACGAGAACATGTTGATTTTAAGATAAATTTACATAACAAACTAAACGTGAACTGAAATCTGCCTCTTTTAACGGAGACTATCAGACTATCAACTTTATGCTAAAGTCCAAAGTACGTGGTTTACCATGTATACAATTACCATGTTCACACGCGTTGAAAGAGGCACGTAGTGACATCTCTTATAGAAATTGGAAACTTAACCACAAAAATGTTATTGACACTCCATCTCTCGGACAACTTGAAAAGTATGCTAAATAGGGGATTATAGAAATATACCAGCTTAATAATTGATACATTGACTAGTAGATGGAGCTATATGCAACTTTAATAATCGAATACGGTGTGTGTAAAAAAGGAATGTGACGTCACCCCGACCCTAAATTGATCTTTATTTCTAAAAAAGTTTTTATATACTTATATATATGTATATAAATGTAATTAAGATGGTCTAACAACGCAAGATGTGAGGAAAAAAATACGAACACCAAGATTATGATACATCTCATGAATAGCAAAAACTGAAAACCCAGCTAAAATACTCAGACCATAAAATACTTACCATCACATCTTAGACATCTACATTATTACGGAAGGAATACTCTTTAGCACTACTTGCTCATTTCATTTTCATGCACTCCGATATGACTTGGAATATAAATTATGTCTAAAACTGATCACGGCCGTCTTCGAAGACATCGACCGAAATATTTAATTATTTAAACTCATATTTATTTAAAATATAAATTTTATTAATTCCAATATAAACACAAATAATAATTATTTAACATCATGATACCTACCTATTCCCATAAATTTTACCTTACTTAATCGCTCAACAATGCTGCCTACCGCCGATATCAAAAAATAACAGTATTAATTTTTTTAATTAACTCAGAATAATACATTATATATTATATTAATATAGATAACTTATTGGCCATATGGTTTTATTCGGATTTAATTAAGCGTGGTGATAACACCTTCCTATAAATACGGCACGGATTCACCCTAGCGTCAGTTGTCATCGCAACACCATCGATTTCTCTCTCAACAAAACCGAATAATCAAAGAATTCTTTGAAAATGAAACTTCTACTTTTGGTACTTGGCGTAATCTCTGCCGCTGCTGCAAGAAATGTCTTTGGAAGGTGTACTAGTTTGTTCGATGAGAGTTGCATTCACAATGGTAATAATGGTGAAAATGGCAATGACGAAGGTTATTTAAATGGAGGTGGTAGTCCAGGTAAAAGATGCGCCGGTTTATTCGATGAGAGTTGCATCAACGGTGGTCTTGTTGGTGCTGGTAATGATGAAGGATATTTAACGGGAGGTGGTAGCACGGGTAAAAGATGCGCTGGGTTATTCGATGAGAGTTGTATCAACGGTGGCCTTGTTGGTGCTGGCAATGATGAAGGATATTTAACGGGAGGTGGTAGCACGGGTAAAAGATGCGCTGGGTTATTCGATGAGAGTTGTATCAACGGTGGCCTTGTTGGTGCTGGCAATGATGAAGGATATTTAACGGGAGGTGGTAGCACGGGTAAAAGATGCGCTGGGTTATTCGATGAGAGTTGCATCAACGGTGGTCTTGTTGGTGCTGGTGATGATGAGAGCTGGTTGGGTGGAGGATCTCCGGGAAAGAGATGCGCTGGTTTATTCGATGAGAGCTGCATCAACGGTGGACTTGTTGGTGCTGGTGATGATGAGAGCTGGTTGGGTGGAGGATCTCCGGGAAAAAGAAGTGGACACACTAACTCGAAATACATGAAAAATTGGTTAAAGAAACTTTACCTTCAAGCTTAATTAAAAAAGTTTTAATTCCTGCTTATTTGATTTGTTTTATTTAAAATAAAATTTGATTGTCGTGTAATTTTTTGTTTCATTTAAAATGTTTAAAGTCGATTTGTATTGATTAGATAGTTTAATAGTGAAAGAAAGCTAAACGGGATGGGATTTAGTAGATAAAGTAGATTTATATTAGGCAGACATTGCTTCACGGTTCGAAACGCTGTCACCCTTGTTTGTATTGCCAGAGTACAAGCCACTAACACGATTACGTCCAATCAGTAAAGGGAAGAGGATCTAATTGCCAATGACAGCACCGACTTGATTCGCATCAAATCAATGCTGGCAGACGGGCGTCGTGACGCCAGAAAAACGCCCCACACATAAATAAAAATTTATTTATACACAAAGTTCGTAGCTTTATCATAGTTTTCGTTTTTCGGGTCCGGCTCATTATTTACACGTAATAATTTTTTTCTTTTCCCAATAAACACCGACACCGATACCTACACTTCTATACTATACAATAATACAATTTGCTCGTATTTAGTGACACTATTTAGGTTGCCGCCTATTTAAAAATATGTATAACTTAAAATATATCGAATGATTTTTACGTCGTCTTCTCCCTGGATGACAGTCCTAATGCTTCCGCGTGTTTCCTTGCTTTTAACCTCAAATCTGCTATGCTTGAATTTTTATGTGCCGCTGCCAACGCGGCGAAACCAATCGGATATTGTGGATGACATAATATACTTGCTGCCGAATTATTTCCTACCGATACGGCAGCAGCGTACTGAAAAATGGGAATAAAAGAATGTATTAATTAATTACATAGCTCTACAACAAAAAATTTTTTCTTGTTGCCCTGGATATTTAATATAAGATTACGAATATATTCATGAAAGTACTGAATGTGCTCTTGTTTTTTTATGATTTTTACATATCTTATATTTTAAACAATTATCGGCTTGTTAGTAATAAAATTTATTTTCCCAGTCATGATTAGGCTTCTGCGCAACTTTTTC